GTAGTGAACTCAATTGGAATTCGAACATGGCTCACCAATCCCCCAGTCCATGCTATTATCTGCTACTCCACCTTTACACACATGCTAATACATGTTCTATAGACTTACTTACACATCTTCAAAAACATATCAACAATCCAACCGTACATGTCATCTACAAATTCCAAATATTTTCTTTAAATAGAATTTATGCACTGTGATAAGTTGGAAGCTATGACTTTATGTTAATAATCCCAGTTTTTATGACAATCTGTTGCTGCTATAAATAAGGTATCCCAAAATTATTCCTGCTTAAAGATTATGGAAGGAAGAGATTCAATCTTATTTATTCCATGGTTGGTCCTCATTTCACACCAAAATTACATTCTGGGGAAAAGGAAAGCGAGAAATAATAGCATTTTTCCCCTCCCAACTGATACGAATTGCTTATAAACCGGAGATAAAAAGAGTCTCATTGCGATATCTTTACTCACAAGTCTGACGTAATGTTAAATGTTAAGATTTCTGATATCAAGAAATGGAATGTCAGATATTAAAGTACCTCAGACTTATATTCATTTGTGCTAATACTTCCAGTTAATAAGGAGTAGATTAATCCGCACGATAACATTATGAGCTCAAACTGAAACCTGGGCAAATAAAAAGTGTAATATTATCCAGGGCTTTTATTTTTATTCAAACTGATGTCCTCATCTTTGTAGTAATTATTATAATGTTTCAGTCATTGCACTCTTCAGCCTTCATTAGGAGTCTTTAAATCTGTATAACCTTATGGGAATTTGAAATTGAATACTTTATTAAATCTACAAGATTAGATTGTTCTTGCTTTGTTGCCCATATCTAAGGATATCTCATCTTGTTCTTTTTTAATACTGCTAAGTTATTATGTTGTGACATAATGTATATTGGAATGAGAAATCAAAGAGCCAAGTTCAAATTCTAGTCGGGTTTATTACATACACTTACGCTGAAATACCCTTGTGAAAGGTATGAATTCCTCTCTTCTCCCCATTTATGGGTTGAATAGCAGGACAGATTGGGTCCTATAGCCTTGGTTAGTAACCAGTTTATTACAGAAAGAAGCAGCAACCTACTGAGGGAATAACTGCCAAGCCAGTCAAAGAAAGACATTGCGCAAGTTATTGTAAGTCCAGTTACCACTTAGACCAAGTCTGTTCTACCCACCTCAAGGATTGAACTCAGAATTACTACATCACCAAAATCTACAAATCAACTCTTTAATCTACCAGGCTATTTGTGCCATGAACAGAAGCGGGACAACAGTCAAAAAGTTGTCATTATAACAATAAACTATGGGGAATTTAGGATTGAACCATTTATTTAATCCCTGAGGGTAGATTGTTCTCACTTCACTGTAAATGTCTAGGAATATCTTGTTCATTTTTAGGACTACTCAGCTACTGATATTTGTGTTTTCACAATGTCTGAAACTGAGTTTTTACTAACCATGTCCCTGTGATTGGACTGGGTACTGGCTTAGCTAGATATGGTAAAAACAGGGATAGCAATAACTGAGCTGTGTTATAAAGAGAAAACGATGACATATGCATAGACATGGATAATAGAATCAGAATAACCTACCCATGTAAATTAAATAAAATGTTAAGTTTGGAATTCACTGAAGGTTTCTCAGATAGACAGACACCTATTGGGGCAATGGAGGAAATGTTATTTATAACAAAAAGAAAGATGGAGACATTAATCCAAAATTAAATAAGGATAATTCCTCATCCTGGAAATTCAGACAGAAGTTTTGAAGCTGATGTTCTATCTCATCTCCGCAGATATGTACGAAAAAAAAAAATATACAGCATGACAGAAATTTTAATCTTACACATTTTAACTTTATTTTTTTTTTTTTACTACAGTCCATCCAATATGAAGCCCAAAAGTCACTGAACGTAGAGGTTTACTGTATGATATGAAATTAATAAGAGGAAATTAGAAGTGAAAATTGTGAGGATATGGAGGATAGATAATGGTTGACGTTAAAATTGAAGAGATAGTATTTAGTATTTGGGGAAGCATCCATGAGGGAGTCAGTTCCAGCAAGAAGCTGTTATTGGGAAAATGTCATCTGGGTAGAACATTTTTCTTACCAAAGGAATATGTAAGGAATTAGAGTGATTCAACCCTGTTGTCATAACAAGTGGGTTCTTGGGTGCAAAGGTCTGAGCAAATGACATTAAAGAATGAAGTCTGTCTGAACATTTGCTATGGAAGTAATGATAGGCCTATGACTTGGCATCTTTGGGAAAGAAGTCGTAGAATTAAAAATAAATTCAATATTATATAGCAGTATTTTAATTGTTTCTAATGAGATTTATCAGTAGAACTACATTTCTCACTCCACAGAATTCACTACCAATAATAGAATGAATAGATATTACGTAGCAGTCCAGCACTCTTTTAATTGTTTCTAAGGACATTTATCAGTAGCACTACATCTTTGTTGCTTCAAGTTTCTTCTTAATCTCTGAAGAGATTGTTTGGCATTCACTACCATGTAGGAGAAAGATATTATATAGCAGTCCATCAGTTTTTTCTTTATTTCAAAAAACATTAATCTGTAGAACCACATCTCCATCCCTTCAGTTCTCTTCTTAGTATTTCAGCATGTTTCTTTGATTCTAAGGATATTTTCCTATATCTTAATACTTTGCTTAGCTTCTGAAAGGCATGTGAAGATTGTCTAGCATTCACTGCCCTATAGGAGATCAGGTATGACATAGCATTTTCTTTGTTGATTACAAGTTGCAACTAGTGATCGGATTTTCAAATTGTGTACTATTCAAAGCTACTCTATCTCCGAGTAAAAAAATTGTTCTTCCAAAATGAAGTTAAATATTCAAATGATAAAAATCGGACATTCAGTTGTGAAGAATTCACAGGCTGTGTTCAGGAGAAAGAATTTGAAAAAGCATGTATAATGAAGATCTGCAGACGAATTAAACAGACCTAAATTCTAATTGTAACTTCGTGCAGATATTACAGGTAACAAGCCTCTGGCAGTTAATGTAATTACTATTATCAGAAATGCTGTCCAATGCGGACATTCTTGCCTGATGGTGGGTGATAAAAATTCTTCCCCTGTTTGTTTTATTGTAATTTTTCAGGTTTTATATCACATGAGACATTTCACTAACAAGTCAAGAAATATAGCTGAAAAAAAAAAAAAAAAAAAAAAAAAAAATATATATATATATATATATATATATATATATATATATATATATATATCTCATATTTTTGCTGCTTATGAGTTGCATTTTTTTTCCTATAAAATATTTCCAAAAACCACCCTACATTCTATAAATCAAAAGGTCGATGACAGGAGTTAAATTCTCTTCTAATTATTACATTCTAAATTGTTACAATAAATTTGGTACTTCTTCTCGGTCTGTGACAAATTTGTGATGATTAGTCAGGTTTGCAGGCTGAAATATGCTATTAAGTGGGTAAAATTGGGGAAAGTGGGAAGGGCTATGAAATTCCAGGAAATCCCCTCCTCCCGATTTCTTCAAAATTTGTGGGCGTGTTTAATGCATCAAAGTATTTTATATGCTGTGAAATACAGTGATTATCGAGATGATTTTCTAGTAGCCATGTTCTGATGAATATTTATTTAGCTCAACTCACATTTCTATACCATATACAATCTGCAAAAATTTAAATGCATCACCAATCGCCATCTTCTGTCTTTATGCATGCTACAAGATTAGCAACTAGGTTATACTGTTGAAGTAACTAGATGCGACCTTCAGTTTTATTCTCATAGTTTCTTTTCTCGCACTTTAACCTGTGAAACTCTAATGATTTCTTACTTCCCTGCCACTTACAATCAGCAAAAATTTAAATGAAATGTTAATCACCATCTTTCATCTTACCAAACCTTATCCTTTCATTGTCCTCTCTCCTCACTTTTGTTTTTATCTCATCTTTTTTAATTTAATGTCAAAACAAAACTATATTTTATGCCAGTGATTATCGAGATAATTTCTTAATAATCATGTTCTGTTGAATTTGACAATTGATGAAGAAAGTAATTGTATTGCATCAAGACTTTGTAATCTTTAATTTCTTGTCTTCTGTTTAAAAAAAAAAACAAATAAATCCCAGAAAAGAACAACAGCAAAAAATAAAATTTAAATTAATAATTTTAAATTTAAATAATTATTAAATTTATTATTAAAATTATTATTAAATTTAAAAATTTAGCAACTGAAAATAAATAAAGAAATTAACATGAGAAAAAGAAATTAATCAAAATGGCTGCCAGTTTACTTTGATTAAACAAACATAAAAAACCGATAACTCATCTTCTGTCTAACTGAATTTGTTCTTTTATTGTCCTTTCTTCTCACTAAAGTCTTCTCATTCGCTTTCATTCCTAGTACCCACCTTGCATCTTATTGGCATTATCACCTTACTTGGGGTGAAATGATTAATAAAAAACAAACACACACACACACATGCATATGAATACAGAAACATATAATGGGGGTGCTGAAAATTTCTCAGCCTCACCCACTTCCCCAAATTTAACAAAATCCCTCCTTGACCAGGCGGAAACTTTTCAGCACCTGTTCATACATATAATTGTAAACACACACACACACACACACACACACATATATATCATATATTTATTGATATTCATTATTGTAGGGTGGTCTCAACCCAGATCATGCCAGAATAGACTTTGCACTCAATGTCTCACCAGACTGTCAGAGAAACCAGGTGAAGGGTTGATTTCAGGTGGCCTACCAGCCGTCAGGTGCAGAAATGTGTAACCAGATGAGCTGCACCTGACTTGCAAGCATGGGAATTAAGTAAATGACAACGATAGATGCATAAACACCCACCCAGTTGTGAGTGAATAGTCCCTCTCACACATCACAGATGAGAATGTAAGGTCCACTTTCAGTGGAGGGCTCCGAGGCTATGCAGACACACAGTATGATAACATGCATGCATTTATGCTTGGTTACATTTATCTATCTATCTATCTATCTATCTGTTCATATCTAATCTCATTCGTTATATCTTGCTATCATTCTGTTCAGGTCTGTCTCATTTGTTATATCTATCTATCTATCTATCTATCACTTTCTGTTCATATCTATCTCATTCATTATCTTTCTCTCTCTATCGCTTTCTGTTCATATCTATCTCATTCATTATCTTTCTCTCTCTATCACTTTCTCTTCATATCTATCTCATTCATTATCTTTCTCTCTCTATCGCTTTCTGTTCATATCTATCTCATTCATTATCTTTCTCTCTCTATCACTTTCTGTTCATATCTATCTCATTCATTATCTTTCTCTCTCTATCACTTTCTGTTCATATCTATCTCATTCATTATCTTTCTCTCTCTATCACTTTCTCTTCATATCTATCTAATTCATTATCTTTCTCTCTCTATCACTTTCTGTTCATATCTATCTCATTCATTATCTTTCTCTCTCTATCACTTTCTGTTCATATCTATCTCATCTTTCTGTTTATCATTCATTTCTCTCTCTATCACTTTCTCTTCATATCTATCTAATTCATTATCTTTCTCTCTCTATCACTTTCTCTTCATATCTATCTCATTCATTATCTTTCTCTCTCTATCCTTTCTCTTCTATCATCTAATTCATTATCTTTCTCATTCTTCATATCTTCTCATTCTCTTTCTCTCTCTATCACTTTCTGTTCATATCTATCTAATTCATTATCTTTCTCTCTCTATCACTTTCTGTTCATATCTATCTCATTATTCACTTTTATCTTTCTCATTCTATCTTTCTCTCTTTCTCTTCATATCTATCTAATTCATTATCTTTTCTCTCTATCACTTTCTCTTCTTCTATCTCATTCATTATCTTTCATTATCTTTCTCTCTCTATCACTTTCTCTTCATATCTATCTCATTCATTATCTTTCTCTCCTTTCTCTCTATCATCTTTCATTATCTTTCTCTTCATATCTATCTCATTCATTATTCATTATCTTTTCTCTCTATCTTTCTGTTCATATCTATCTCATTCATTATCTTTCTCTCTCTTCTTTCTGTTCATATCTATCTCATTCATTATCTTTCTCTCTCTATCACTTTCTCTTCATATCTATCTCATTCATTATCTTTCTCTCTCTATCACTTTCTGTTCATATCTATCTCATTCATTATCTTTCTCTCTCTATCGCTTTCTGTTCATATCTATCTCATTCATTATCTTTCTCTCTATCCTTTCTGTTCATATCTATCTTTCATTATCTTTCTCTCTCTATCATATCTATCTCATTCATTATCTTTCTAATTCATTATCTTTCTCTCTCTATCACTTTCTCTTCATATCTATCTCATTCATTATCTTTCTCTCTCTATCACTTTCTGTTTCATATCTATCTCATTCATTATCTTTCTCTCTCTATCACTTTCTGTTCATATCTATCTCATTCATTATCTTTCTCTCTTTCTTTCTGTTCATATCTATCTCATTTCATTATCTTTCTCTCTCTATGCTTTCTCTTCATTCTATCTAATTTATTTCTTTCTCTCTATCACTTTCTCTTCATATCTATCTCATTCATTATCTTTCTCTCTCTATCACTTTCTCTTCATATCTATCTAATTCATTATCTTTTCTCTCTATCTTTCTCTTCATATCTATCTAATTTTCTCTCTCTATATCTATCTATCTCATTCATTATCTTTCTCTCTCTATCACTTTCTGTTCATATCTATCTCATTCATTATCTTTTCTCTCTATCTTTCTTTCTGCTTTCATATCTATCTCATTCATTATCTTTTCTCTCTATCGCTTTCTCTTCATATCTATCTCATTCATTATCTTTTCTCTCTCTATCACTTTCTGTTCATTTCTCATTCATTATCTTTTCTCTCTATCGCTTTCTGTTCATATCTATCTCATTCATTATCTTTTTCTCTCTATCTTTCTCTTCATATCTATCTCATTCATTATCTTTTTCTCTCCATCTTTCTCTTCATATCTATCTAATTCATTATCTTTCTCTCTATCACTTTCTCTTAATATCTATCTAATTCATTTCTTTCTCTCTATCGCTTTCTGTTCATATCTATCTCATTCATTATCTTTCTCTCTTATCTTTTTTCTCTCTCTAATTCATTATCTTTCTCTCTCTATCTATCTCATTCTATTCATTCTTTCTTTCTCTCTCTATCCTTTCTCTTCATATCTATCTAATTCATTATCTTTCTCTCTCTATCACTTTCTGTTCATATCTATCTCATTCATTATCTTTCTCTCTCTATCACTTTCTCATTATCTATCTAATTGATTATCTTTTTCTCTATCTCTCTTCTATCTAATTCATTATCTTCTCTCTCATTTCTTCTTCATATCTCTCATTCATTATCTTTCTCTATCTTTTTCATTCTATCATTCATTCCTCTCTATCGCTTTCTCTTCATATCTATCTCATTCATTATTTTTTCTCTCTCTATCTCTTTCTCTTCTCTCTCATTCAATCTATCTTTTACATTCTGTTCCTATTTTATTTTTTGTCTCTCTCTCTCTCTCTTTCAATCTGTTGATATCATTTTGTTTGTTATCTATTCTCATTCATTTTTTGTTCATATCTTATTATCTCTCTATCTATCTATATAGAGACTATATTGATTTATATGTTCACATTGTTTATATTTTCAAATATTCTATCCTTGATATGGAACATGGTATAATAATATTGTTTTTCCAATTAATAATAACATATTTAACATTGCATTAAACTCAAGACTTCATGAATTTTTGTTGTGTCGGAAACCTACCACCCCTCTTGAAGATGAACTTGTCTGCGAACAAAGACGTTAAATAGTGGTATGTCAGAAGACAGAGAGACGGAGCCGTTCTTAGCTGAGCTAGTGATTGACTACTCAGGCGATTTCTGTACCTATTTACCAACCTATTAAAACCCTTTTATTTGTTACGTGTTATTTGGCGTTTGACTCTACTAACCCCAAATCAACATCATAACAATTTTCATCACCCCCATATCCACGGGTCTATCAATCCTTCAAACATCCAGGGTGCGATGGGTAAATTGTCGCCGTTTTATATTTTTAATTTTGCACATGTGTGTTTTTTTTTGGTTTTTGATTTTGTCAACTGTACAGTTGTTGGGGCGCACCCACCTTCTCATCAGAATGGAATGATATCTCTACTACTAATAGGACAGTTCTATAGAGTTCTGGGAAGATCAGGTGACCATCACACTTCCGTCTCTCTACCGGAAGATACAGTTGGACTTTATACTCTTTCTGATTGTTACTGACTAACCTGCGTTCGTTTGACTACTAATCTCTCTGTTGTAAATACCTCTTCGGATATACCAGTATTTTTCCCTACGTATGTGTTTGTCCTTATTGCAATACACGCACGCGAAAAACACTCAACATCTCAACAACAGTATAATAGGGTGAGTAGGTTACTGTCTGTGAGAAAAAAAAGCACCATGACACAATTCACTCTGCTAGAAATTTGGAAATGGCATGACGTACTGCATGGCACTTTTGCCGGAAGCTCCAATACAAACATTTCAGAGTATTTGGGTGTCAATCGGAGGAGAGTGCAGAGAATTCAGAAAGAGTTGGATGAGTCTAATGCTGATTATGAAGGTACAGCCTATTGGAAAACTCACTCTGATCACTTTGATAAGAGAAAAACTCCTAAATTTGTTGGTGAGATCCAGGTTAGGATGGATAATGATCACTCGAAGTCAATCAGGTCTATAGCCAGGGACACGGGAATGTCTGGATTCCTTATCAGGCAGATAGTGTATGAAGATATTCATATAGAACAATCATTGGTTTGCTGTGTACCCAAAATATGTACCAAGAGGGATGAAAACCAAATATCCAGTCAACATCATGGCTTTTGGAGTGATTACTAATGATGGTAACCTCATGTCTCCAATCATCTCCCCACAGAGCCTTAGACTCAATACAGTGGCCTATATCAAGTGCCTCGAGGAGGTAGTGCTGCCCTAGGTCAAGAGGGTGGCTGCTGGAAGATACTATGTCTGGTAACAGGATTCTGCACCATGCTACTCAAGCAAGAGAACCCAATCATGGCTGTCTGACAATTTCTGTGGCTACATCACCCCTTACATCTGGCCACTTAACTCCCTAGACTGCAATTCCCTTGATTATTATGTGTGGGTTGCAGTTGAGCATGGAACCAACAAAACTCCTTGCAATGCTAAAGATGAACTGAAGGCATGGATTATGGCAGTATTCACCAACTTAAACAAGGAGACCATCCTGAAGAGTTACAGAAGATTCCGAAGTTGTCTGGGGGCCAGGGTTGAAGCCATTGTGGATTTTCTTGAATAAATTTACTCTTTAGTATTTCAAGATATTTTTGTGTAATTTTGGTAAATATATATTTGTTAAAATGAGATGTCAGTATTATTTTCATTTTGCATAATCTAGACAATAATTTATCCATTGCACCCTGTACACATAAAAACAAACACTTACACACACACATATATATATATATATATATATATATATATGTGTGTGTGTGTGTCTGTATCATACATAAACAGGGGGGCCTACACAAATATAGTATCCACTAATAATAATGTTTAAAGTGATAATATATATATATATATATATATATATATATATATATATAGAGAGAGAGAGAGAGAGAGAGAGAGATGAAGTGGAAAAGCTATAAACAATACATTTTGCAAGAATATCTGTTGTTTTCAGCTTCAGGTTAGAATGAAAGACAAAACTGTCTGCAAGGAAAATTTGATGGGATCTCTGAGAATGAAGCAGCTAAAGAAATATGCAAGTTGGTGATATCATAAATATAACAGATAATATTTATATGCTTAAAGAGGTGTCTGACTGCACCCACAACCAGTGTAACCTAAATTCTTTTCCCTCCTCTCTCACACAAAACATCACTCAATCAACACATGGACTCCACCACACATAAATAAAAATGTACACACATTGTCAACCAAATCCCACATTGACCAACTACATTATGATACATAAAAATATATTATATATATATAAAATACATAACAGTCTAATAGTCAGAGTTGAATCAGACTTCTCTTTCCTTCTTCACATCCTCCTCCTCCATTCTATTACCCCCAACGTTGTGCTTTTGGTTATTAATTTTTTTTTTTAAATAATATAACATTCATTTTTTTTATTTTTTAAATAAAGCATTAAGAGGTCATTTGATAAAAATCGCCTGAGGGTACCATAATGTTGAAACAAATGTAGCGGATTCAACATATTACATGTATTCAATAAAAAGAATATCAGCATTTTCTATAAAAGCCAAATACATGTCAGCTGAAGTAATGAATTTTGTCTCAGTAACATTATAAAGAAATATACAACCCCAGTCAACTAGAACAAGAAAATTAAATTATCTACAATAAAATATTTAAAACAGCTAACCTTATCATCAAAAATGAAAACCCACCTGTGTGATCTATGTTACAGAGAACCAATATGATTTATGAATTTACATCACCCTTTTAAGAAACTGCATTCCTGATCAAACCAAATTCATGAATAATTATATTGAACATAACACTAGATGCTTATAAAGAAGACTCAAATTACATCTCTCTGACCATAGCTCAATTAGGATTCATTTAAAAACACATGGAAACCTCCCAGGCATATTTATAGAAAACACAAGTATAATAACCTCATCCACATGTAAAAAAGGACTAAAAATAAAGCACTAACAATAAAAAAGAAAAACCAAGTACTCAGTAACATCAACTATGAACATGGCCACTATGTGCTAGC